AGAGAGAGATAGGAATGAGATCTAATGGAGTGGATTGAAACTCAGCAATCTGAGTTCGACTCAAACGTGTGATAAACTTTGTTGTGAGTTGAAAACCACATTAGGAGGTTTTTAAATGTATTAGCAATGTAGAAAACGTTACGAATATTACGCAGAAATGATTGTGCAGTTATGAGCACTTTTGCTACTTTAATTTACTTTGCTTTAGCCGCTTAACTAACGTAAGAAGAGAAAGTATTGTAATCGTGAGTTGGGGAAAACTGGTGAATTTCTGGGACACAAATATCTTACAGCTGAGCTTCACGCGTAAAGCGGACTAAAATCACAAACATCTAACGCGTGTGGTATAGTCCCCCAGAATACATTTTTGCCTTCCAACTACTTCGAAAAAATAAATTTGACCGGCACAAATGTCCTGTATGTCTGTCCCGGTCGCACAACAACTAGCGGCATAACACCGTTCTTTTTCTACGATTTTTTCCTCAAATTGTATTCCAAATCATTTTGCGCTGGAACTGTTGGGGGCTCCTCGAATTTTCAAACCAGTATTTTAATTTTGGGAAGTACTCTTACACGAAAGTCCCATCGATATATTCAAACACGTTTCTTCAAAAAACCGTAGCCTTTCAAAAATTTGTTTGTTAAGTTTGTTTTTGAATCGTGCGAATCCGACTTTGAACGAAGAAATGTTGCAAGTCTCATTTTCGTTGAAATGCTTGATGTTTTTTGGAAATTTGCAAAAAATAAAAATTTTTTAAAACTACAAAACTTGAAGATCAGAGATCTTTTTTGCGTCGCAACCTGTTTGTACACAAATTTAACCTCGACTCAAAAAGATTATGTATAACAACAATTGTTTTTGAAAAAACAAGTAGTTTTTTCGGTTTTAATTTGCGCTTGACAAAACTTACGGGAATACTGTTTCTCAAAACCGGCCTCAAATTTTTTTCTTTAAAATCTTCTCCACACTATGCCAATTAAATTTAAACTAATTTATTCAAAGTTTAGCCACGTAAGAAAATTGTTCTTTTTACAGCTCATTTCTACACATTGAAATATGCTGGGTTTTTCCTTTCGGCCGTCGCGCCTGCAGCGCCGCTGCCTGCTCTACTTCTTTCAGATGTGAATGCTTGAGAATGGACAAATCGTTAATAACTCACATTAATGAGTTTTTTGGAAATTGCATAGAATATGCAACAACCATTTACAAATTTATAAATAATTTCAAAATTTTGCAACTCGATAGCGGGGAATGTCCCTCAATGTCACAGAACAGAAAAACGTAAATTAACAATATTGCAACAATTAATAATTTTATAAACAATTTCGAAATGTGCGCTGATACGGTCGGGGATAGTCCACAAATTGTGTCTGAGTTGAACATTTCAAAGGAGCAGTTTTGGTAGAAGTTGCTAATTGCTACATGTTAGTATAATATCTTGCTAAAGTGCTAATTATTCAGTGGTCTATCGACACCAATACTCGACCGAAAACATCTACTTACAAATATTTTTCCGTCATGGGTTACGCGCAGGCGAAATCTCTCCGAGAGTTGACGATATTTTTGCGTAAACAATTGATGCCTCGCATCCTCGAACAGTCTGTTACGCGCCTCATGGGATTTTTCGCTAGTCACACAGACAATAAGGTTCTGACTGTAGCAATT